TATATGTATCTTTTTCTTAGCTGGAGAGCCAAATTGCATGCCAAAGGGATGGGAAATAAGTAAATATGTTCAGGCATTCAACATGTTGAACTGACTCAAGCTTGAGGGAGAGCTCTGGCAATTAAGTTAATGAAGCTGCAAAGGGACTGTGGCTTAAGAAGTATCTTACAAAGCCTCTGACAGCGCTAACACTTCACCAGTCAGTCGATTTGTATCTACAAGAATGTCCCCAGTTACCAGCCAGGGGAAGCTTTAGCCACATGGGTCAAATAGCTCCTGTGTTTTGGTGGGAGGAGGTCTTTGCATCCGCGCACTTGCTGCTTCCTGGGGACTGTGCAGCAAAAGGTGGATTTGCCTTCTGGATCAGCTGCTGGATAAGCACTCATGCAGCATTTTCAGCTAAAAGCACAAATTTTAATCTTTGAGAAGAGCTTCATTTTTGACATAGCCATTATTCCTCGTTTAAGTGAACTCAGATCTCTTCAAGTGCTATTCTCCAGGTCTTCAGCATGTGCAATGTTCATGTTACTCAAATGTTACTCTTAGGAGTATTTTAAGAAAATGTAGCACAGAGCCCTTACTGGGTTGCCACTAGGTTTTATAAAAGTGAAGAAAAGAGGGAATTCCCAGCACAGGGACTGTGCGCTGGATGCAGACCAGGTAGGAAGGAGTGGGATTATAAACACGTGGAAGTGATTTTGGAGAGGACACTGACAAACTCGCCATGGCAAAGGTCTGCAAGAGAGTACGTACAGCTGTATGGTACTATGGAAAATGTTTCCTAACAGAGGAAACCTTTGTCTTTATTGTTATTTTTGAAACCGCTTCAAAACACTTGCAGGCAGGTTGGTTTTGGGCTCCTCGCCTGTGTGCAGCTGCTCAGGCCATGCAGCTGCTCCCGCTAGAGGGAGGGTTGGGACCAGCCGCCCGGAGCTGCAGAGGCCGAGTGCGGTTTGGGAAGCCTGGATTTGCTCCTGAGTTACTGCGTGCTGGAGAGACGGAGCATTGGAACAACCCTGCCGTGTGCGCACGCGCAGCCCAGAGCTGCCGAGCCTGCGGGTAGACCTGGCAGCTCGCCTGCCTCCGAGCTCACACAACGAGGAGGACATCGTCTGTGAGCCAAAAACATGGAAACTGCATGCTGCAGACAGCTGTCTTGCTTTTAGTTTGGAACAATCCAATAAGCTTGGAAAAAGCCATTTTGGAGCCTTTTGAAGCATTAAAACGGGCGCCCTTCATGCTGAGCTCACTCTTCTCGGTCTCAGTGCAGCCGGCAGCTTATCTGAGTCCCTGCGGCACATCCTGCCCCAGCGCCACTGTGGGCCCTGCTGCTGCGACGTGGCACTGGCAGCTCCTCCGAGCTGCTCCTCGCTCCCAGACGTGGAAATAAGCAGGGGGCATAAGAATAAGGGGGCAGTCCCAGATGTGTCTGTGAAATCTAGTGCCAGCATGGAGCAAAGTCTTCGGATTTGGAGGCCCATATGGGAAGTCCCTCAGTAAAGACAACAGGCAGCATCCTGAAGCCTTCGCGAGGCCTGCATATCAAGGAAACAGTTGTGTTCTGAAAATCCTGTTATAAGGTTGCCCTTGATTTTTGCGGAAAAAAAATGTAATCCAGAATGAAAAACTTTGTGCGCAGTGTGAGCGTAGAGACCTGCAGCCTTCAGAAGGCCGAGAGCAGCACCGGGGTCGTTCATGTGTGCCCGTGGACGCCTGCGAGCGCTTCCTCTGCCAGCTCTGCTACTGCCCAAAGGATGGCGATGCACTAAATCAGAGGAGTGTTTTCAGTTTAGCACATACTTTGGGTCAGAAGAGTTTTGTAGTCATTGCACTGAAAATTTCTTTTCAGTGCAGGCATTACAGAAGGATTAACTCCTGCTTTCCCCATCCAGGAAACGATCCGGCTGCTCTAAACTCACTGCACGTGCTGGTAGTCCTCCGTAGTTCTGGGTGACAGTGCTGCCATCGTAGTGTCACCTGTGTGTGCTGCACTTAGGTCAGAGAGTTACTGCTGCTGCTGTGATTAGTTGCATTCAAATGCTTATGTGATTTTTTTTTTTTTTAATAAGCCTATATCCTGATTTAGCTATATATATGTATTATATAATTTACTTTCAGGAGTAGCTAATATATCATGTCAAAATTGGGTGTTTTTCTGAAAGGGGGTACTTCTTGCATCTTTGCATGTGCTGATTGTGTACGTGTGTTTGCCTGAGCTGTGCCCTAACTTTTGCTGTGTTGCTTTTGTTTCTAGAAACTACAGATCCCACAGTGATAGACACTGACAAGGAGAAATGTATGCTAAATGACAGGGGTAAATAAATGCATACCGTGTCACTGGATGGAATGGCTTTTCAGATTAAGTTGCAATTTATTTTATCATGTAATTGCATTTCATATAACAAGTAATTCAGTTTACGATGTCTTTGCTGTCATTTTTTAAGGGGAAATAATGGAGAAAAATGTACTGAGCTGCTGCTGAGGAAAAGGGTGCCAGGCAATTCAGAAGATTATAGAGACTAAGCGATTAAGCAGTATTGACAGGAGTATATGTTTACTTATCCTGTTTTACCAACATCCTTGAGGGGTAGTAAATGTTATTCAGCTGTAAGTGTTATTCAGCTGTATTTTTCACAAAGCCATCTTTTTTTTTTTAATCCATTGTAAATATTGAAAGTTTCAAATTAAGTACAAAAGAAAGAAAGATGGCATGCATGCATGGCAGAAAGCAGAGTGAACTTAACTGTATTTTCATTGGGAGAACCATTAAGCTTTTTTTCATCTCCTTCCTCTTCCCAATGCCCAAATTACAGCAGGCTAAATATTTGAATCACTGAAAGATATTTGGAACTGGAATATATGAATAGTTTTGCCTAAAAAAATTAAATAATTTTCAAAATTCTTAGAGAAGTATTTTACCATTTGAGATTTAAGTGATATTTGGCTCAGAAATTTAGATTCTGAGAAAATAAGAGCACCGTTTATAAAGTTTGCCTCCTAGCGGTGGGTTTCTCTTGAAAGAAGACTGCAGGGAGGGATGGAAAAACATTTTGACTAGTATATATATACAAACTCTCTCTCTATATATATAGTTTGTTTTTTTGTTTGTTTTGTGTTGTTGTTACTTTGAATATTGAAGTAAATTACAGTTCACCTCACTATTGCTGACTGCAGTGTAACAGTGCAGGAAGAGTGGATAAGGTGCTTAAAAATGAGACAATGATGCCTGTAGCATCCTTATCTGCATCATCAGTGCCACCAGCTTGTCAGCCTGGAGCACGTTTGTCCTTAAATTAACAGGTTCAGCTTAATTGTAACTGTATTCATAGTGAAGGATAGAATGCAAATGTTGGGCTAAGTAATAAAGGAGCAGCTGTAAATCTTCTGAGATAAGTACAGGCTGGAAGGATTTTATTGAGCACCAGTTTTGAACACCCATGTTAGACTGCATGTAACTCCAGGCAGGCCCATTTGAAGAAAAGCTTTGCTTTAGGATAGTGGGCCTATAAATAGCTGTGCATTTCAGCTACCAACAAGATTGCTAACAGGAACAAGAATACCTTTTTTTTTTGTCGTGAAAGTGTCATCTGTGGGACGCATATATATATATATATATATGTATATATAATAACATGCAGTCCTTTTCTGCTCCGTTTCATCTAAATGTGTACAGAGATGCTATTTAAGTAAATGAGACGTAGCCAGTGAAAATAAAGAAATCCTATGTACCAATTACAAACAAAATGACTGAGCTGGCAGCTGGCATTGATTTGGGTTCTGGCTTCGGTTCTTTGTTTCTGCTCTCTGGCACTAGTTTTTTCTGCAAAGCCGGATCCCACAGGCACTTTAGGACTGGGGCTGTGCGTAAGTGAAGCCAGAGGGACTTCGAGCACAGGCTACACAGCAGGATTTGTGGAGAGCTGCCATTCCCCTTATTAGGGAAAAAAAGAGACAGGCATGAAGCTAGAAGAGAGGAAAAGGTAAACTTAGAAAGATAAAAGCTACTTCTAGGAGACTTCAGTTCCTATCTGAGGTATTTTCACATGAGGTACCTTGAGCCAGTGGAGGCTATCTGTGGGGAAAAATGCTCCATTGTGTGGGGAAGGTCCCAGTGATTTCATTAATATCTTGTTGCAAGATTTAGGTTTTTTTTTTTTTCCAAGAAATGCTTTAGATGATATCAATACACTTAAGGAAACTTTCATTTAAATTTAATGGGAGCATAGCTAATTAGACAAACAGTAAAATAGTGAATGATGTTAAAGTAACTGCAGTAAAAATCAGTTATAGTGTAGATATTGTAGATTACAGTATGGTTAATGTACTTTATAATACATTAGCTACAGGACATATGTGACTATACTGGTTTCATTTGATGCACCTGCTGTGCACATGAAGAGTGATAGAAGTTTTATGAACTTGGAAACAATCCTGCTCATGCTCTTGGTCTTAATGTGCTTCCTTTCTTGTCTTCTCCAGGTCCGGTGTTTTTTCTCTCCTGCTTCAGTGCAGCTGCAGCGTTTGCCTTATTTTGGTACTGCAGTGACTCAGGTACCTGTCCCAGTGTGTTTTGTTTCGCTCGCCTTGCGCTGGCCCATGCCCGTGGAGTACTGTGGGACCCACTGAAGGGAGCGGGACCTCATGGAGCTCATGGGCTTCCTCCCTCCCTCCTGGCTTCCCTAGAGCAGAGCCCCTCAGCCGGGCTTGCCCTGCACTCGTGGTTAAGGTCCGGAGGGAACCACTAGACCGCCCAGGCCAACCCGTGCATGTCCTCAGAGGCCATCACTAGGACCCGTTACCACCACTTCACAGAAGTGTTTCCAGAAAAGCCGTTGGGCCCAATGCAAAGAAGCGGAGACACCATTGCTCTCCTTGGTCGTTTGCCCCAGTTATTTGCCCTTGGTGTTGAAGTGTGTGTCCTATTCTCAGAATGGATTTACTTCAGCTCCAGCCTTTCTGTGTTGTTACACTGTTTTCCAGCAGATTGCAGAGTCCCGCAGGCCTTGTGCCTGTTCCAGCTGGTGCTTTGCATCTCCTCCCAGCGGAGGTGCTTGCGCTTAAGTCACCTCACACACTTTTTTTTTTTTTTTTCCTTTTTTTTTTTTCCTTTCTCTTTGCCTTTTCTTCCCCTGGCTAAAATCAGCAGCTCCAGCTCTCTAAGGTCAACACTTCCCTCCCACTTAAATTTTATTGCTCTCTCCTGAACCTATGTAGTGCCTCAGTAGCTCCTTTAAGAGGTGGCACTGAGCTGGATTTGGTAATTGAGGCTCACGCCAGTCAGTGCCATGTACAGGTGTGAAACTATCCCCTTAGCCAGTTCCTGCTCAGGTATCTGCAGGACAGCAAGCCGGGAGGGCCACTGTTCCCCTCCGCGGGCAATTCACGAATGCAAAACCAAAGGAAATGGGCTGTTCTCTGGAGTTATTTTCCTTGTTTTCTTTTTTTTTTTAATGATGCTATTTATTGGAATGAAACTTACTATTTTCACTTTTTCTTTCTCTCTCTCTCTCTCTATCTTCATTTTTTAGATACCAAAGTCCTGGGAAGAGCCAGGAGAATCCTGGGCTTTTCTCCTATTATCATAGGCAGACATGTTAGAAAGATTTGTATGTTGTACTTAGAAGACTTATCGAGGAATTAAGGAAAAGCTGCTGCTTCGCTTCTCTGTACAGCGTATACCTGCCAAGGGAAGACAACGGTGCATGAATACTAATGTACTACCCCCTCATACCAAAGGTCTCATTAACTAGCTTTATCAATGTGTTGCCTTAAGATATCTTTAGAAACACCACTATATATGTCCTTCCTTATGGGAATGGACCTTTTATTTTTGTAAATGCTTATTTTTAAATATTTATCATTTGGATAAAAATATTTTTAATACAAATTTTAATATGATATCCTAAGCGATTGTGGGTCTTAAGCCATGTTTGCATGTGTGTGTTTTATACTGGAAGGGGAGAACACAGTCTTTGGAAGAACGCAAGTCTGTCTTTTGTGATAATTTTAAGAAAAGCACTTAGAAAATCTACCTGCACTCAAAGCCTTACTAAGGAGTGGATCTCACCTCAGGGCTGTGTCTCATCCAGAAGTTAGCCTCACTGCCCGAGCTTGGGTGGGCGCTCATGCCTCTGGAGGCTCTCGGGGCCCAGTGCCTTTGTGTGTGCCAAGCCCTTGCCCCGTGATCTCTGGGTTGGCAGCTCAGCCCAGCCTGCCTTGCCCAGGCCATGCTGAGCCACCCGTTGTGGCTTGAGTGCACTGGAGCTGGTGCAAACCCCATTCTGGGGCCTGCCCTGGCTGGGCTGAAGTGCTTGAAACTCCCAGAGAGACCTTTCAGGGTTATTTACTCTTTTCCAGTGAGGTATTTTGGGGTATTGAAGAAATAGAAGCAATCTAGCATGTTCTGCAGGGATGTAAGTGATGTGAGGTGGAGGTGTTTTATGGCCAAAAAATGCATGTATTTACTTGAAGAGTCTGCAGTTGTAATGTCATTTGATCATGTTCTGCTTTTGCCTGTAAGCTCAGGCCTAGAAAGTTTGCAGGATCTGTTCCCAACACCCAGCTAAGAAGGAAATGGGTGAGGGAGATCCCGGGAGCCGGGACCACCGATGCGCTCTGTGGGCTTGTGGCTTCATGAGCATGGTCGTGCCCAACTCCACACGAAGGCCTTTCCCCCTCGGTCTGCTCTTTCTGAATGGGTCTTGGCCAAGGCATTGGCCAAGGTGGATGGTTCTTCAGTTCTAAAGAGCTGGAACGTGACTTGCAGATCGGATTTAGGGTCAGGAGGGGAGATGGTCGCTTGAGCAAGCTGCAGCCACGCATGAGTCAACACGCATCTGTAGGACCCCTGCGAAACTCCAAGTCCTTTGAAGTGGTTTCCCTAAAACAGCTGGAGAATCATTGGTGCCTTGTTGGAGCTGCTGTGCTCAGGGATTTGAGGGTGCCTGGCCTTGACAGCAGCCCCACGGAGCTGCTCAACAGCCCCAGGGTTGCAATGGCCCTGTGGGACACCATGGTCCTCCCTCTGCCCTAACCCAAACGGCTCTCTGGAGCTTTGGAAAAAGGCAAGTTCTGTAAAGGCTGCAGCACCTCTCTGCTCTTTTAGAAAGATGAGGCTTTCTCTCAGGAACAATCTCCTGGGCAGAGCTGTTTGGTTCAGCCTGGGAAGAGGGCAGGAGAGCAGACATAGATTGGCCATCGTCACAAAAAAACAGAAGATTTGTGCCTTAATTAGTGCGAGTTTTTGTTGATTAGAAAAATGAAGGCAAAGCTTGCTTTAAATTGGCGCTGTGTAGCGGGCAGGCTCTGAGGACGGGAATGACTAGGCTCCCTCCATCCCTTCCCTTCCCTTGCGCCTCCTTTGTCCTCACGAAGGGTGTACAGGAATGGGCAGGAGGCTCAGATCACGTCTGCAGTTCTCGGGACTAGAACAGAGCTGGAGGCAAGCCCTGGGGGAGACCCTTGTCATCTTTGAAGACCCTTCTTTTGGGATGCTGAGATATAATGCGCTTCTACCAAGGCAAACACCGCCGGCAGCTGCAGTGATAGGTATCTCCCTATTCAGCTCCGAAAGAGGCACGTGCTCTGTTTGGGAGCCAGGGTCTGCGAGGAACATGGTGGTGTTTGCTTTGAAATAAATGAAGTGGGGTCTCGAGTGATCCTGGCTAGGTCCAGAATTCCCGCTTCTCTGCTGGAAACATGTTGGAGAGCTCAACGGTTACCGCCAAATGCTGTAAGCGCAGGGCGATGCCGTAGCGCCTGAAGCAGCGCGCGGCCCTGGTCCTTTCGCAGTCCAGGCAGCCGGCGCGGGACCGTGCGCGGCACAGGGAGCTGGGGAGCAGCGTAGACTTGCACGGGGCCATGTCAGGCCAGGCCCTCCTGGGAGCGCTTCGGAGCAGCGCGGTGTGCCCACGGCCAGAGCCACCTCGGTGCTGCCGGCTGGATGGCAAAGCCACCGGCACAGCCACCCGCTTCAGGTCTTTGATTTGTGAAGCACCTTTTCTCATACTGTAATAAAAGGAAAACTTAAAGTACATGTGGTCAAGATTTACTGTCATGGATGCTTTTCGCAGGTGTCCTGTGTGCACAAATGCTATTCCTCAAAAATGCCTTACTGTGCAAGCAGAGCTGCTCTTACCACGTGAAAGGCCAGCGGTTTGCTGTGCTTCACAGATCCCATGTTTTATAATCATTTATCCTGGCATATATCTTCTCTAAGTCTATATAAGTTAATGGAATATGTTTTTTTAATGGGGTGAAGCTGGCAATTAAATTGTAATAAAGTCTGGACTGAAAAAACTGCTGCTGTGTTCCTTGTATTGAATGCTTTGCTCTGGCTTTCAAAGTGCCCATTGCCCATGGTCCCCTTCCCAGGGTGGGGGTGTGCTGATGCCCTCCCACTCTCTGATGTGCAAGGGTTAATGTTTCGCCTTGGAGTTTCTCCAAAGACTTTTTAACTTTTTCGTTTGATTTCAAAACTCTTTGCAACCTTTTTGATCCATCTGTTCAGTGATATGATATAATGAAGCATGATGCATTGGTGCAAAGAACGGAGGTCCTTCTGCTAAGCCTTGACTTTGTGTCACTGTGGTAGTCAAGGACCCCACAGAAGGGGCATGTTGCTGCAACGGGAGAGGCACCAGGCTCTTGGCTGTGGATGGCAGATGCCAGAAAGCAGCCTGCACCGTCCACACCTGGTAAATGCGGACCTGCAGGATGCAGAGAGGGGCATATTGGGTTGTGCTTATGACTCGGCCTCTTTGATGGTACTCTGTATGCCAACACCAAGGAAATCCGTGCCTGCAGCCAGCTGGGACTGCAGCAGAGCAGTGGGGCCAGCGCCTGGGTGTTTCAGGTGAGTCCTGAACTGCCCTTTCTATTTTAGAACACGAGCCGTCACACGCCATGCTTGCAAGGAAAAGCTTTCTTGCATTTTGCTCTTTGTAAAACTTTAATAACCTCGTGCGCAGCAAAGCGGAAACCTTTCAGGGCCGGTTTGTGGCGCTGGAGCGGCACCGCGGGAGCCCCATGGAGCCTGGTGCCAGGCCGCGCGGAAGGACTCTGACCCCTGCGCCTGCAACTCCATGGGCTTTTTGGGTCGTTTTCCAGGAACCCATGGGAAAAAAAGCCCGTGGATTTGTAGGCTCCTTGGAGACTATTGCAAGTCCTCTCATTTTTGGGCAGCAGCATATTTGGGTCTAGGCTGCTGGGCAGCAATGCAGCTTGCATGTCATGACTGTAATACTGTAAGAGGTTTTTTTTCTTCCTTTTTTAAGCTGATTCTTAACAGTCCTTTGCGTTTTGCGGCGCAGGCGGCAGTAGCACCTATTCCCGGCAGAGGGTCCCTGCCACCTAGTGGCTGTTTCTCCCCCTCGACCCTGGCTGATGCCACCTCAGGGTTCATCCGGACCCCAAAGTGGGATCCATCCCAGCCCTGCCCTGGCTTTCCGCCCCGGGACAGTTCTCTGTGAAATGTCTCAGCCAAGGTCTCTGCCCTGCTCAAGTGGCAAAGGGGCTGTAGTTAAATGAGCTCATTTCTCGCCAGAACGGCACTTCCGTACGTCTCGAAGGCCTTGGGCACCGTCATACCCGACACTCTCTCCTACTACTGCCCTCAGTGACACCGTCTGGGGCACTTGCCCTGTGAAAGAGGCAAGTTATTAGATAAATTTCCATATGAAATTCTCAAAGGGGAAAAATAAGCCGTCAGCAGAGCTTCACTTCAGTGCGGTGTAGAAAGGAGGGAGTGCAGCAAGGGGACAGAGAGGCACTGGGAAGGGACACAGTGTTTCTGCACGTGTCTCCCACAGCCCAATAGGAGGGAAAGCCGCCGCCGGCAGCTCTAGGCGTGTGCTTGCCCTACACTTCTCCTCAGGGGCTCAGTTTACTTCCAGCAGCATTTTCTCTGCTTTGGGCACTGCTGCAGGCTGGTTTATCACCTCGAGCACCACAGGTGCGGGGAGGCCCTGCGTGCTGCAGCTGGGGCTGGGCCTTTCCCTTCCTCAGGACAGGAGCAGCCCCTGCCCTGCTCCTCATGGGCCTCAGCTGTGCACGGGCACCCGGCAGGTGGGAAGTGGCTTTGGCAGTCCTGCCCTGGGGAGCAGGAAGGCTTAAATGTGCCCTTCTGCCCAGCAGGGAGCTCTTTTGGTCCTATAAGAACGTGGATATGGAGGTGTGCTGCTCATCATGCCTGGTGCTCAAGGTGGGTCTCTGCTCGCAGGGAGAGGGGCCTTAAAGTAAGGCATTAAAATGTGTCCCATTCTGAGGAGGAAAAGCATCATGGTGCTGGAGAGTCATGAGCTTTATCTTATTTGCAGCCTGGAGGTAGGTTTTGCTATTTCTTTTGACCATGACATTGTGACCATGACGTTGTGAAGTTGTACGTGCAAGGTTCTGGAATCAGCAGGCAAAAAAATATTTCCCCAGTGAGAACATTCTGTGGTTTTCCAGCACCATGTGGGCTCCTTTCCAAAGCGCACGCCCTGCTCACTGGGGTGGCTCCTTGGGGCAGAACTTGTGCTGTCTCTGCAATGCATGACCCTCCTGGCAGCAAGCAAAGGCAAAGTAATGGCTAGAGGGCTGAAAATAATAACAAATATAATCCTGAGCATGCCATTGCAGGGACACATCTCCGGAAATGCTGCTGTGTATGGAAAATGGTGAATGCTCCTTAAAATCCATGAAAATGTAATGAGAAGGGTGAGGCCTGGAGGAAGGTGCAGTTGGCAAGAATTGCTGCTCAGCCTCTCCTGAGA